TTACAGGGATGTCATGTCTTCCTTGCTGGCTTATTTCTAAGAATCAGTCTGTTTCTATGATCATATTGACAAAAAGGAAAAAAACGACACTTACACACACCAGTGTTACAAAACCTTGTATTAATCATTTCCCTTCACTTTCAATATAACGTTGATATGAAATATAGCCATGATTCTTAGTTACATGGGAGGAAATGAGTAATAAATACATTGTAGCAAGTTTAAACCACAAGGGTGTTTCACTGGTAACAACATTTGAAAACTGTACACTTGCAAAGAACAGCATCTCCAAACATTAGTGTATCTGTGTATCAGTAAAGCTTTTACATGTAACAAACATGCTATTTCCATATATGACAAATTTTAAAAATATGCATTGCTTGGCAACATGAACTAGGCAAAAATAGTTCTTTGTTCACTAACTTTATACAGGAAAACAGGACGAAAGGCATGCATGTACAATAGAGATGCCTGCATGGGGCATGCAACAGAAGAAAGCTTTTTAAAAGTCAGCTTACATTAGGCATAAATACATGAGGGTCATATATTAATAAGGGAGGAAGTCTTCTGTTGGACACTATTAACATTCCTGTTTTCTTCCTATTCCTCCCAGAGGAATACACATTCACCTTTAAGTAAAGATAAAGGAATTACAAAAAAAAAAAATAGTAAAACTCACTTTGCAAACATCTCAGATGACTTGTAAAAAAAAAAAAAAATCAACACTAGTGTTATCACAGCCCCATGTGCAAATTACCCTCTGCAGGTCCTCCTCGTAACAGGCACGCCGAGCGCCCGGCCAGGCTGCTCCTTGGCACCCAAGCCGGAGGGCCCGCCGCGGGCATCTCCAAGAGGGCCAGCGAGACCGGGGCCGGCTGCCCTCCCCTCACTGCCCTTCTGGCCGCAGGCCTGTGCACCCAGCCCGGCGCAGCCTGGGCTCTGGGTGAGACCCTCACGCTAGCTGGGCGTGCACGCCTGCACACCTTGCCCTGGCACTAGCTCCAAGAGGTGCAGAAGGACAGAAGACCCGGAGAAGCCTCCCATCCCGTAAAAGGCAACCAATGACACCTCAAAAGAAAACCGCGTTTCCCTCAGTGTCTCTTCAAACGAGTGGGAGGCAGGGGCCCCGCGGTCGCTCCCTCCTGAGTACCCAAAAGGGACCGTCGATCCCCAGGACTGGAGAGCTCGGTGCAAACAGCTGCCTTCTGCAGGCAGGCCCAGCAAGGTCTAGTTTGCTTGCTGGCCCTCGGTTAGAAAGTGAAACTCAAAAAGCATGTGGAAACGACGTATCAGCAGCAATGTTTCATTTCTTGTACACAGTTCATGTGTGTCTTCCTATCGTTTCTGTTAAGAAACCACTATGAATAAAAAGCACCAGTAAAACATCATACATGATAACAATATTGTAGAACGTCACTGTCCCTGGGACAGTGTAGAGATGCCACACACACACACACACACACACACACGCTGCTTAAATCAGAACAAGTGGGGGGAAACATGGGAAATAGATTTTACTCGGAGATCTTTAATGTTTACTATTAATATAAAACAGTCGCATCTGTGGGTCAATGGGTAGATACAAAAAAAGGCACTGCCGCGTTAGTACTAAACATCCGACATCACAGCCTCACGCATGCAACTGTTTGACTCTTTTATAAATAAAATTCTTTTGCTTTAGGATTTTTAAATTGAGCTGTATACCTGCAGTCAACACAGGACTCGAAACGAAGTGGGGCTAGGCTCCTAAAACTGATCAGAACACTCAACTTAAAAAAAAAAAAATTGAAACACTAAGAGCAAAACACAACTAAGTAGATAAATCTATACACAGTCAATAAAAATAAGCTTTTCTTTTCTTTTTTTTTTTAAAAAAAGAATATGTTGTTATTAATAACAGACTTTATCATGGTTACCAGCCATAGCAAGTTAATAAGTAACATATCCAAAATAATATCTCTAATAATCAGATAACCATTGTTTCTATATTCAGTGAAGGAATAAATAGAAATTCAGATTTGCAAATACGGTTAAGGTCTTCCTTTTAAAGGAGTCATGCTAGTGTGATTGTATTCACAATCTGGTTTCTGAACCACCGCCGCCTCTATGCACGCGTTCTGCACAGATTTGAATGCTTTCTTATTTCTCCACGAGATGCGTGGCGCCGTCGCCTCTCCTCTTTAACATCCTTAGCATCCAAAAACCACTTCCGCAAACCCTCTAGTCCTACCTTTGGCCTTCAACATTTTAAGCCTATTTTTCCTGCCTTACATGTGATCGTCCATCCCAACACATTCCTCAAATAACACTAGGCTTATTTAGAAAAGGGATGTGGAGGATGAATGTTAATGGCACTTGGTTAAAAAAAAATCAACTAAAAAATGCCGCCTCTTTCTGCGTCTTTAGAATGTGCCACCCAAAGAGAGCGCGCTCTCTCTCTCTCTCTCTCTTTCTCTCTCTCTCTCTCTCTCTCTCCCCACATGATTTTGTAGGTTCCAGCCTTCGCTGGCTTGCGAAAGGCTCTCTACAGTTAAGATGCCCTCACCCTTTTAGACCTTAAAGGGACTGGAAAAACCTCATCACAACCTCCAAGGCCACTCACGCCTGCACATTTTTAATCTTGAAGGTGAAAGGAAGTTGTTTGGATTTCATTAAGGCCTTTGACATCGGTGTTTATTTCATTAACTGTTTTCTTTTCAATAACCATGAGCAAGTGCAGCAATTTCCATGGTCTGATCTTTTCAATTTTGACCGACTTCACTTAAAAAAAAAGAAAAAAGAAAAAAAGGCACCAGATTCACCCATTTACTAAACAGACCTCATACCCTCTCCCCGTCTCGCCTCCGGCTGAGCGTTCGCTCCATCACTTACACAGCCCGTTTCCCAGCGCACAGCACAGTCCTCTCGCATTCCCTCGGACACCCTCCATCGCGTCGGGTTCCCAAACGGGGTCTTTCTTGCCCTTAAGACACAGAGCTATTACTCCGTGGCAGCGTGTCTGTTAATCTCTCGCCAGGTAAAGAGTGGCTTTCTCTCCCTTCTGTGTGGAGGGGAAATCAGCCCACAACACAGCAAATCCCTCATGAACACCCTGCGGACGGAGCGCCGGTTCCATCACACAGTTCCCTTTCCCACGCCTCCCGCTGTCCACCCGGGACGGTGGGCGGCCGGCCGTACACCTGCCTCCGCTCCCTCTGCCACTTGCGGACTGACCGTTCCGACGGCTGCTGGCCGGGGCCTCCTCCTCCCTCTCAGCAGAGAACCAGCTCAGAGGGGGCGGCCCCAGGCGCAGGGTCCCAGGAGGACCCAGTCAGCGGCGTTTTGAGCTCATTATCTGGGTAGTAAGGCCTCTTGCAAGGAAACCAATGTCCATCCTTGCCTTTTCTCTCCAGGGGCACTCGTCCCACCTGTGTGTGCAGCCAGCGGTGGGCTGAGAGCCTGTGGTCGGGCAGGGAGCGGTCTCGGGTGAGAGCAAGTCCAGCAGAGAAAGGGCCTCAGGACCTTTCAAAACCCCTGGGTGGCCCGCAAACCCCTCCTTGAGCCCCCCCCCGCACCCCCAAGCGAGCACGGGGCCCAGGTCAGCACACCTCAGCCTTCAAACCCACGTTCACGCTCCCCGCCCACCGAGACAGCGGACCACTCCGGCCTCCCGGGAGCGGAGCCATGGGAAAAGACAACCCTGCTGCTGGTATAAAAATAGAGGGGAATGAATCCATACAACAGACCCTTCACAAAAACCACAGCACGAAGAGAAGTTCCATCCGAAGGCTTTCCACGTCATGTACCCTTTAGAACTGTTATGTAAACAATACACAAATCAAAGTTTCTCTGAAATTTCGCTGGAGGGAAGCTCTCCCTTCTGGCCCCCGTTGCCAGGTGGCCCTCTCCGGCGGCTCGATCCCAAGCAGGGGCTTCAGGGAAGACCAATGGGGGACAGAAGAGCGAGCGCCGTCTTGCTTTGGTCACACGCAGCCGTGACTTCCTCCCAGGGCCAGGCGGTGCGGCCGGCCCCCAGAGCGGCTCTCAGGGCTGGGCTCCGGCCTCCCTCCTGGGTCTCTCTTCTCTCTTTCAAGGCAGGACTCTCTTCCCCCTCCCTTTCCATCCAGGAAGCCACTTGCATTCCCTCCGCCTCCCCCCACCCCCCAGTCCCACGTTCCCCTAGAGGCCCCCACCCCCACCCGCCCCCACCAAGCCACCCCAGGACACACACAAATGACAGAATAACCACTCCCAGGTCTACTGATATGTTTACAAGGATGACCTACGCTCTCACAAAATCAAAGTGGGAGAGGGACCAGGGGAGGGCTGCGCAGGATCCCGGAGGATTCCGTGCAGCCCAACGATGGCTGATACTGGACCCGCAGCAGTCGATTTCACGGCCAGCGCGGTCTCCCCCATCTTCAGCTTTAGATTGTGGAGGTCCGGTCCACCCCGTCTGGAGAGAGAGCACACAGTGGGCACCGTGAGCAAAGCAGTTCCCATCAGCCACCTGGTCCCACACCACGCAGGTCGGGCCTCTCAGTCTCTGAGGACAGTTCAGGGCTACATTCATTCACTCAGTCACTCAGTCCTTCCACACCCACCCACTCACCAGCTGGGAAGGAGCTATTTGGCCGGTAACCATACTGAGCTGGCAGCCAAGGCGTAGAGACCCAACCCTCGCCGTCCCGGTGCTCACATCCTAGTCCCAACTCATTCATGTAAGCCCACCGTGGTGTATGAGTGGCAAGTGCTGCAGTGCCGTGTGTACCAGGCACGGCAGAAACACGGGAGACGCAGTGTTAAGTCACCCTTAGAAACCAGGGACCGTTTCCCAGAGATACAACAGGACTTCCGTGGATGCTGCTGCAGGAGGAGAGAGGAGCAGCCGGAGAGGATGAGTTGGGGAGGGCACACAGCTCACCTATAGGCATGATGACGGCCATCAAACGGTGAGCTGCGGGCAGGCTGGGGGTTTGGGGTGAAGGACGGGGACGGAGGAGTGGCCGGAGAGGAGCCACAGTCAGGCACGGCCTGCAATGACCTGCAGGTGGACCTCACTCACAGCCCTCTCTCTGGGAGCCTCTCCCTCCCATCCCGAGGCTCTGCTGAATGACTGGGAATGAGGCGGCCGTGACTCCGTGCCCTGGTGACAGCTGAGCAGACCTGGGGGACGCATCGGACCCAAACTGACTCAGATTCTGTCTCAAGAATCAGACCAGGGGCAGACACCACGGTTAGGTGTGGTGGGCACCGGGCACAGCGGAGCCTGTGGAAGACGGACAGTGTCGAGGCCGCCAGGATGTGCCGTGTCTGGTTGCGGACTATAAAGTGGGGGGGCATGTGCGCCAGAGTTGAGAAGCCGTGAGTGGACAGATGGCAGAGGGGCCCAGGGCTGCCTGACCCCTTCCTGGCTTCCCGCTTACACACAGATTGTAGGAGAGTGCCCGGAACCAGACCGTTAGGGTCTGGTACTATGAACGGGAGCTTGGACGTCGGGGGTTAGGGAACTATAAGCAGGGGAGCTTCCAGGTCTGATTTTAAAATGGTTTTCCTGGCAAGGCTGGTGGCAGGACCACCAGGCGCCTACAATGGTCCATGCTGGAGCCGACGAGGGCTTATCAGCGAGCAGAGAGAGGGGCAATGGCTAGCCAGCACAGGGGGTACCAATGGCTGTGCTCAGCAACCACGACCTGAAGGCCACGGGGGTGGAGGGAGGAAGGGGGTGCAGGGTGCCTGCCTGGTTTTGCTTATATCCAAACACCAGCAGACGTGTCCCAGTCTCAGCCTAGATATCGCAAACCTGGCCTACCAGATGGAGCCTCTAGATGCCCTGGGCAGGACTCAGGTGTGAGGGGAGGGCAGGATGCTTCAGGGACAGCTGGAGGACCTACGTGGTGGGGAGGCTCCTGAGGCCACTGAGGGGTCTCTTGGGCCCCGCATGGCGGTGCCTGGCCGGTGTCTCACCAGCAGGGACTTGGAGGAGAAAGATTTCTTAATTGAAATTTTGATTGTGATCACTGTCGGCTCACATACGGGTGTAAGAAATAGTACCAGGTTTCCCCAATGGTATTATTTTGCAAAGCTTTAGTACAATATCACCACCAAGATATTGACACAGTTTGCCCATCTTATGTAGATTTCCCCAGTTTTACTTGGACGTGTGTGTGTGTGTGTGTGTGTGTGTGTGTAAATTCTATACAAAATTTGGAGTGTTTTTAAATGAGGGAAGCAGATGCCCCCAAAGGTCATCTGTGGTATCAGATCGCCAATCCTAGAGGCCCTCAGATGTGAACTTACCACCCATAACCTCTCCCCACGCTCTGTGGGTGTCTACTTGCACCTCCCACGGTGGCTCTGCAGTGGGAACTGGTGATGGGAGAACAGGAGGGTGTGTGCACACACACATATGCGTGCGTGGGGTGGGGGTGCTCTGGTCACTCCCTCATCCACAGTGCACACTCCTGCCAGGGCTCCCCGGCCCACTCATTACTGCCAACCCTTCATAGTTATGGGAGTGGGAGCTGGAAGCCTGGAAATCTCAACTACCCAACCCCCAGTCACATTTTCAGGAATTCCAGCCATAAACCTCATCTACTCAAAGGTGACGGTTTTCATCTGCAGGGAAAGGACCAACAGGCAAGTCCAGACTCACCATTCACCGCTGTGCAAACTGTGCCTTGCACAACTCCAGGGGGTGCTATTCACATGCCAACATCATAGCGTTTACAGTAGGGATGACATATTTCGAATAAAAGGCAGAATGGCACGTTGAGAAAGTGGAGCCATTTCCTAACTTGCACAAATCTCCCTCCCTGCCAGCTAGGTGTGGGGCTGTAAGACCCAGGACGGAGCCAGGAGAGACGGTGATGGGAAGGGCAGGGGTCATGGGGGAAGCAAGAACCCCGGCACATGGGAGGGACTGCGCATTCCTCTCTATGGTACACTTCACTGCAGACTCCATTCTGCTGGGAGGAACCTCGATTTTGTGCTGGTTGCCCATAGAAACCCTCCGCAGTTAGAAAATAACAACCAGGCTGGGCACTGAGACTTCCTGAAACCTGGGCCACCAGGCAGGGGCAAGCCCCAAACAGCCAGAGTAATTAAGCCTTACCTGGAGACTCACAAACGACAGAACCCACCCACCCAGGGTTTCCTGGGGGGGTGGGAGGGGCTATGCTGGAGGGGCTTGGGGGAGGGAACAGAGGAGAGGAATAGGGAGCGCCAAAGAGAAAAGCGGAGTAAGACTGGCACCAGGAGGGCAGCACTGGGGGAGGAGACAGAGAGCGGAGACATCAGCACAGAAGGATGGCTCCCAAGGCCCGGGCCATGGACCGGCCGCACAGAACGGCCATCCGGGGACGCGGGGCACCAGGAGCCTGAACATCTCGCCTTTCCAGAGGCGCGAGCAGGGGAACCTCCTCGTCTGCTTTCCTCTCCCTGGTTATTCGTCTTCCTGTAAAATGACTTAATCCATCGCCAAGGTCCCCTTCCCTGGCACCTGGAAGGGGTGGGCGGGCAGAGAGGCGCTGCCCTAGCAGGAGGGCACTCGGCCACTGTGCCCGGCTGGGCCACCCGGAACGTAATTTGCATTCCCTGCTCGGGGAAGCTGCTTATGAGGCTTCCCACCAGAGGATTACCGAGAAGAAACACAGCAATAAAAAAGCTTAGGAGATTAATCAGATGAAAACATTAGCAAAAACACATCCGTTCAGAAAGGTTTTCTGTAAAAAAACAACAACAGAAGAATGGGCTGAGAAATGAAGCCTTTTGAATAAAAGCCTCCCTTTAATAAAGAGCATTCGGCATTCTTGTTACTAATGATGATAATGTTAGTCCTTAGCAGTTGGGTAAGAGCTTCCAATATGCCAATTATCTGATAAATATCCAGCCCTGGGGGAAAAGGCCAGTCTCCTTGCTGGCTCAGAGGCAGGGAGAGCTCCCCCCCATCTCCGGGCACCCCAGCTACCGGCAGGTGGGAGGGAGCCCGGGCCGCCCGAAGTGGCCTGATGACTCAGGGTCTATGGGGGTTCCTTTTATGAGAAAAATTGAGATATGATTCACATGCCACAAATTTCATCCTGTTAAAAGTGTACAGTTCAGCGGTTTTAAGTATATTCACAGAACTGTGCAACTATCACCACCATCTAATTCCAGAATATTTTCGTCGTCCCCAAGAACAACTCCGGCACCCACTCCCCCCTCCCTGCAGCCCCTGACCACCACAGTCTGTCCTTTCTGTCCCTATAGACGTGCCTGCTCTGGACATGTCATCAGTTCACGAGTGGAATCCTGTTCTGTGTGGCTCCTTTCACTTAGCGCATGTCTGCCGCTGCCCCCTCCCCCGGCCCTGCCCCCCCAGGTCGCAGCCTGTGTCAGTACTTCATTCTCTTTAAGGCTGAACCGTATGGTTATACTACATTTTGTTCATCCATATCCACCTGCTGATGGACTTGGGGTGGTTTCTCTTTATTCATTAGGGGCTACTGGTGTGGTCTGACCCCGTCTCCTCAGTGAGCTGGAGAAGTGGGGGGGGGGGGGGCGGGCTCCTCCCTGAGGTACCAGGGATGGACCAAGGAGGCTGCGCAGCTTCCAGGATCCGAATGGGCCAAGGGAGAGAAGAGTGTGTGCACATGGAGCTCCCGGCACCCGGGGAGGTCGCAGGAGGAGCTGTGTCCCAGAAGGCCTTGGGTCCCTCCCTCCGGCACTGACCAGACACTTTCTCTCGGCTGCCAGAAGCCGCACACACACTCTCCGCTCTGCTTCCGGGCAAGAGCAGTTAATTCTGCCTCATTTGGTTTCCAGGTAAAGGTCTGGGGTGTGCAGAGACTAAAATTCAAAAATCTCTGGGGCAGAAGGACAAGCGTCTCTAGAGAGAGCTGGATGGAGGCTTCTCCTCCTCTTCCCTCTGCTCCTCCCTCTCCCCCACTGG